TGGCACATATATACCATGGAATACTATGCAGCCATAAAAAAAAGGATGAGTTCGTGTCCTTTGTAGGGACATGGATGCAGCTGGAAGCCATCATTCTCAGCAAACTATCACAAGAAGAGAAACCAAACACCACATGTTCTCACTCATAGCGTGGGACTGAACAATGAGATCACTTGGACTTGGGAAGGGGAACATCACACACCGGGCCTATCACGGGAGGGGAAGGGGGGAGGGGTTGCATTGGGAGTTACCTGATGTAAATGACGAGTTGATGGGTGCTGACAAGTTGAATGGTGCAGTACTCACCAACAATGGCACAAGTATCAATATGTAACAAACCTGCACGTTATGCACATGTACCCTAGAACTTAAAGATAATTTAAAAAAAAAAAAAAAGAAAGATTAAACAAGTTAAATAGAGACTTGAAAGACATTAAAAAAAGACCAAAATTGAATCTCTAGGGATGAAGCCTACAATTTATTGGATAAAAAATACATTGTATGGGATTAGTACGTATTAGAAATTGCTGAAGAAAAGATAAATGAAATTGAAGATATCACAATAGAAACGATCCAAAATGAAACATATAAAGAAAAAAGATGAAAGAATGAATAGAGTATCAGTGAGTAGTGGGACAACTTCAAGCAGCCTAGCATGCATTTAATTAAAGACTGAAGGGAAAGGAAGGGCAGAAAAACAATTGAAGAAATAATGGTTATTTTTTTTTTCCCCAAATTTGGCGAAAATTGTAAACTGCAGGTCTAGGAAGCTAAATAAACCCAAGCAGGAAAATCTTAAGAAAACTACTCCAATGAACGTTATAATCATATTGCCTAAAACTAGTGATAGAGAGAAAAAAAGTCTTAAAAGTCGTCAGAAAAACAAGACACATTATGTAATGAAGAAAAAAGAGAAGGGTAAGAGCAGGTTTCTTGCCATAAACAACGAAAACTAGTGGCAGTAGAGCACTATGTTTAATGTACTAAAAGAAAAAAAAAAGCCAACTTATAATTCATTACCCGGCAAAACTACCTTTCAAAAATACCTATAAAAACTGAAAGAATTTATCACTATCAGACCTGCACAATAAGGAATGTTAAAGGAAGTCCTTCAAGCAAAAGAAAAGTGGCATTAGATGGAAATCCTGATCTAAACGAAACAAAGAAGAGCACCAGAAAGGGAAAATATATAGGAAGAGAAACAATATTTCTTATTATTAAATATTTAAATCTCTAATAGATAATTGAATTGTTTAAAGCAAAAATAATGACAATGTATTATAGACTCACAGTATTTGTAGAATTAAAATGTATGACAAGAGCATAAAAACAGGGAAATAAGTAATGAAAGTATAGGCTTGTGAGATTCTTAAACTGTATGTGAAGTGGTGTAATACCACTTGAAGGCAGATAGAAATAATGAAAGTGTGTATTTTTAACCTCTAAACCAGTCATTAATTTAAATAATAAATAAGTTTGGCTAATTATGAAAAAAAGATATAAAATGGAAAAACAAAAACAAAAAATTCCTTCCAAGGAAAGCAGAAAAAGAGAAAAAGGGGAGCAAAGATTAGAAATAAAAAAGACAACCCACAGCTGTCCCATGTTTAAACACAACCATATGGAAATATATGTGTGTGTATATATATAAAGTATGTTTATAAAA